CCCCCCCACCCCACCCCATATAAGTTGGGGGAGCGAGTCAAGCCCTTCATAATTCTAATTTAGTTATTCATTGGGTATCCATAAGTAAAGTCGTTTTATCACTGTTAATATTATATTCTGCAAAAACACCTTCCAATAATTTATTTTAATTGTGAGTGAGAAATCTTTGGAGAAGGTATTGCAGAGTGTTTGATCTTATTGTTTGGAAACTTAACTTATTTACCTGAAGAAACCTTTGGAGAAGGTATTGCAGAGTGCTTCACTCTGCAATAAGATCCCCATTTGGCCCTCACTAAGCTTTGACACTGCCAGGGAGTATGAACCTATCATAACAGAGGTATCAACCATCTTATTTATCAATTAGCACAATCCGTGGCGCTAGAGTCGAGAACAATTTGTTTTGTGTTTTGGTACATTACCGAGAAGTCGCGAAGGAGGTAGTAGTTGACCTCAATTGTCATTCTTTTATTTTTATCAACTAGTAAGTGTGCACGTGCAACACACGTATAATCGTATAAAGATTTCTCGACTCGTCTTACTTATTTGGAATATTAATTGGGAATCTTAATTGGGAAACGATTCCTCTCGACCGGCTAATTTTGTGGCTCCTGTTCGCCGTCTCGCTCGTACATTTTGAACTAAATATAGCTTTTGCAGACAAAATTTTCCCATATGAGCACCATATCGCAATGGACTTCTCAACCATAAAGACTTAGCAAAAACACATCACATACAACAGTAACTTGCCAATTTTGACCCACAACATGACACTTAAGCCACACACATATAGACAACATCTTGGTCATCGGCTCTGGATCCATATACAACAAAATGTGAAAGTAAGTTAGACATTGAGCATATTTGATCTATTATCATAACACCATCCTTTACGGAACCAACAAACCATGTGTATTTGACTTTCATATATAACCATTATTTCTCCTTATATCTTAAGCTTAATCATATCTTTGTTGATGCTATGGACCTTCAGTGTAAACCACTAAATTATAAACCGTCAAAGTATCAATAAATAGGGTACACAATTAACCTTGCAAAATGCATCTCCATATATCACAATCTATCAATACAGTATTACCATGACTTTGTGCAATCAAACAATAAAAGTAATCACAACAATGATATATTAATTATAGAGAAAAAATACATAATCCTGAAGCTCCCCATGCCCTACAACCCACGAATCACCTCAAGTCCTTGTAGGGCAGAAAAAATACACTAAAAAATCAAATGAAAATGAAAATAGAATAACTGAAATTAGCCTTCAACATGTGGTGAGACCTTGTACCTTCTACACAAAGAGGAGATGTAAATCTGAAAGAAGAAATGCCAAACACATTAGATGGTAAGAAAATAAGTAATAAATAATTGTATATTTCACATATACTATAGTAGCCTCGAACATTTTTATCCCTCAGAAATGGAGTAGAATATCGAAGCCCATAGCGAAAAAAGTAATGTATCAAAGCACATATGTCCCAAGCTCATGCAGCTATGCACTATACTACTCACCCACATGCAAGCAGCGCCAACAAACACACAGGCCATAGATAAGGCCTCCTGGATCCTGAGTTACCCGTGGTAAGCACAAGTTGGAGGCATAATAATCCCCTCGTTTAAATGGGGCACCACATTCCTTTTATATAAATAGTAAGCGTGCACGTGCAACACACGTCTCAATCAAACCATGTCAAATTCATGTGGGTATAAAATTTTGAATTCATACTCTAGGATGACCCATTCTCTATAAACAAAAGGAGAAGTAAAAACGCATCTATTATCTTTTGACGATATCAAGCAGGCCACGGGAATCATAACTGTATAAAAAATGTCACAAATCAATGGCAACCGACTGGTTGGACAACTTCTCCATGGAGAATGTAAGGACATAGCCTATTTACTCTATTGTATAGTAAAAATGGAATCAAATATCCTATGAAGATATCAGAATGTTTGTTTTCTTGAGAAAAGCAAAGGAACAGATAAACATTGTCCAAGTGGTGTCAATGCAAAGTTGGAACAAAGATACCCAAAAAATAGCAATCTAGAAGCTAAAAACAGATCAATAAAGCGTTAAATTCATGATAAGGAAATGGGGAGAGGGAACTCTACAATTTCTCTATGACATGGATGGCATGCAAGCAACCCTTTCTCTACCATATGCTTAGTTCTGACAATATTAAACATGAGTTAAACATGTAGCCGTGCTTCAACATCTTAGCAATGCAGAAAGGCTGCCATTATAGAATGAGAAACTATACAATATGAGGAAATTGGGCATGTGCAGATCAAGGGCTATAATAATTATTGTAAGGCAAAGCTAAACAGGACTGGAAAAAGAATCCACACAAAATTTAGGATGACGAAAGCCACTCAAAGACCTTCCTAACTAAGATAAATATACACTCACGACAAGAAATCATACTCCCTCCGTCCCAAAATAAGTGTCTCAACTTTGTACTAGCTCTAGCACAAATTTGTACTTAGCTCAAGACACTTATTTTGGGACAGAGGGAGTACTAAATTAACATCCGATAGATGCGTTTAATGGCTAAAATGAAGGAAATGCGTAATGTCATGGCGCTTTTAGTTATTCATGTGCAAATCCAACAATAAGCATGATCTGATGAGAGATGCAAAGATTCAAAGTTATTATTTGATACAAAATGTGCTGAAATATATATACAAAAGAAGCAAAGATTCAAAGTTATCAATTGAGATTGTAAATGACCCAGGTTTGTCTCAGGCCATTTACAATCTCAAACGAGGAAAGCTTTGCTTTCTGCAAGTTCACCAAAGCTTCCAATTTACTACTTTTTACTCAAAGATCTGTTATCGACCGATCTCTCAATCTTATGGCTGAGATTAACATAATTGTAGAAAGCAACATCAACTTAAATTTTATAGTCTGCATTGGAAACCACCAAACAGTTTCCAAAAAGATGTTTTTTAAGACCAGAGGGAGTATATGACTTACATTTGTCGAGGAAATAGGAATAATGCAGGTAAACCAATACAAAGAGCACATATATATGCATCCGTACCAGGTAATCTCTAGCTATTCATGACTTCAATCCAGAGGCGGAGAATACAAGGTAGAATTCCCATATACGAATGAACTTCTCATCAAAGCCCAGTTTCAAAACATGACTGCAAGAAAAAGGAAGTGATAAGAACTAACTGAGCAACCAAGTGGAACATATATGTATATAATCGTCACAACAGTATTCTTCCTGTAGTGAGTTTCAAGTAATACTTACTCTTTGTTGGCCATGAGTTAAACATGACAAGTGATACTTATTCTTACCACCACCTGCCTCTATTTCGCGTTGTTGCCTGTCCGTC